TAAACAACATTCTTATCAACATAGAAAAGATTGAGGTTGTCAAGGACTTCATTCTTCCTGGATCAACTATCAACACTCAGGGAAGCAGCAGTCAAGAGATCAAACAATGTATTGCATTAAGCAAATCTGCTGCACAAGACCTTTTTAAAATGTTGAAGAGCAAATATGTCAGGTTGAGGACTAAGGTGCGCTTGACCCAAGCCATAGTGTTTTCAATAACCTTATATGCATGTGAAAGCTGAACAGTGAGTAAGGAAGACCATAGAAGAATTGATACCTTTGAGTTATGGTGTTGGAGGAGAATACTGAAAGTGCCATGGGTTGCCAAAAGAACCAACAGATCTGTTTTGGAAGAATTGCAGCCAGAGTGCTCCTTAGAGGCCAAGATGGCCAAACTTTGTCTCTTATACTTTGTACATATTGTCAGGAGGGACCAGTCCCTGGAGAAGGATATCATGTTTGGTAAGGTGGAGCGTCAGAGAAAAAGAGGAAGACCCCCAATGAGATGGATAGGCCAAGTGGCAGCATCGATGGACTCAAGCATGGCAACAATAGTGAGGTTGGCCCAGGATCGTGCAGTGTTTTGTTCTGCTGTGCATAAGGTCGCTATGGGTTGGTACCGACTCGATGGCACCTAACAACAACAACAACAACAACAAGTATCTTCTGGACTTTTGGTGTGGTGCTATCCACAGCACTGGACTGCAAACTATAAGGTTGACAGTTCAAACCCACCAGCCACTCCTCAGAAACCCTCTATAGGGTCGCTATGAGCCGGAACTGACTTGACTTGATGACACCTAACAACAAGTATCTTCCAAGGTCAGACCATCTCCACAGAACTTACTCCACACAGTTGTTACTTGTTAAATGCCATCGAGTCCGCTCTGACTCATAGCAGCCCTATATAGTGTTTCTGAGGAGCGGCTGGTGGGTTTGAACCACCAACCTTGTGGTTAGCAGTCTAGTGTCGATCCTACAGTGCCACACCAGGGTTTCCACTTAGTTGTTATAGTTGTTGTTAAGTGCTGTTGAGTCAGTTCCAACTCGTTGTTGTTAAGTGCCTTCAAGTTGGTTCTGACCCATAGCAACCCTGTATAGGGTTTCTCAGGAGCATCTGGTGAGCTTGAACTGTCTTCCTTGCAGTTCAAATGGCTTTGCAATCTGACGCATTAACCCACAGCGCCACACCAGGATTCCCTAGTTCCAACTCATAGTGACCCTATAAAGGGTTTCCAGGAAGCATCTGCTGAGCTTGGGCTGCCAATCTTGCGGTTCAAACCGACCTTGCAGTCCAGCACATTAACCCACAGTGCCACACTGGGACTCCCACTGGGTTGTGAGAACAATTAAATGAGCTCATTAGTCCTAGTGTTGTGCTGTAGGATAAGCACTGGACCACAAGATGGGCAGTTCAATCTTACCAACTGCTCCTCGGAAACCCTAGATAGGGGGTGCTATGAGTCAGAACCAACTCGACAGCACTTCACAACAATTAATAAATGATGTACTTAGAATAGCACTTGACAATAGTGAATGATATCAATAACAGCTATTGTTTTTGTTGTTGTGATTGTCCCAGGGGTCAGCAAACTTTTTCAACAAAGGACCAGACCGTATATCTTTTGAGGGCCACTGGGCAAGGGTCATGGGTAAAGTTAATAGAGAATTTCACAGCATGCATGTCCTTTGGTGGCGTGGAAACTGAGTCAAAGCAGAATGAACCACTACCTCCACCCCCTGCCTCCAAACAACTGTGCTGAGTTTGACACAACTCCTCACTTGCCATTCATTCAGTTTTGTTTCCGTTTCTGCTTTGTTTATTTTAAGGAGTTGTTTCGAATCTGAATATGGAATCAAAAACTTTCTGGATGTATTCAGCCAGTGAACCTACTTTCTGTAAATCTACCTCTGGGCACTCAGAGCTGACTGAGGACAGACGTGTCATTTACAAATCATTTAATCAATGGGGTCAAGCCCCAGGATGTCAAGACTCTGTTAGAACTAGGAGGAAGAAAAAAGAATCATAGATTTGCTTGTTCCTTCCCAAATTTACCCCCCTTCTGGCCAGCAAATGTGCCAGAGGCAAGTAGACAATTCCAGGCGAGAAAGGAGCCTTTGACCTAGAACCTACAAGGTGCCCTCAGCGGGTATTTCTGGAAAATGGTGCGTGAGCTTAATTTTTGAAAATGGAATCTTAATACAGTGCAGAGAGGATGGTGATAAAGGGAATCACGTGGCTGGCTGTTTGCAGACACGAAGGCCCTGTGTGGTAGTCTGGGAGACATCACCTAGCTTTGTGTCTTCAAATCACTCAATGTGCCAAAAACACCACCTACACCCTGACTTCTCCCTGACCCCCACTGCCCCCACAAGTTCGCTGCTTGAAGGGCCGGCTGGCACTTCACATGCTGGAGCTCTGGAGCCTCCCCAAGCCTTGCTGTTCCATGTCTGCCCAGCATGGAAAAGGACACCAGGTCCTAGGAGATGCCTGCCTTTCCTTCCCACCCTCACCAGTCCATTAGCAGGCCTGCTCCAAGCCCTTCTGTCAATCACCACCTCCCAGTCCAGGCCGCTGCCCTGTGGCTCACCCTGGATCTGGGGCACCTGCCCCACCTCCCTCCCTCCCTCTATTCCCCGTGGTGGCCTCCTTCCTGCTCAATTGTCCCAGTGTCTTACTTCTCTAGTGCTACTGCAATGGCAGCGCCACAGTGGGCGACTCTAGCCAAAGAATTTTACTCTCTCACAATTTAAAGGCTAGAAAGGAGGGTGGGCTTTGGGGAAGGGTCCTTGTTTCCTTAGAGCCCAGGCCTTCAATCCTGAGAGAGCCTCCAGTTGCCAGGCATTGTCTGCTCTTTCATATACACTAACCCTGCCTCATTAATACCACAAAGAAACACACCCCCAAATTCAATGTCACATCCCCAGCCCGCCACTCTACCCCCAGAGTGTCCCAGACTCTGGGCTCCTCCCTCCCACACCCATTCACTCTTGTCTGCTCTGACACCTACTTGGGGGGTAGGGGGTCACCTACCCACTGCTGAAGCTCTGGTTCCTCACCTGGCTTCATTTCTTACCTTTGTTGCCATGTACCCAGAGACAGACCTGCACCATTAGGGACTCGGGCAACTCTGACAGGTGGCTGAAAGCATTTCTGTTCTTCCTGAATCTGAGTTTGACTCTGTCAAAGTGCAGGTCGGAATGGAACTGCATTCTACGCATGGGCAGCATGTTGCCTCTGGATAGCAAAGACCAGTCCTAGGGCTTCCCGCCAAGAAGGGCCCTCACAGACTCAGGAGTGGGATGTAGCCTGTGAGGTTTTCCTTGCTGACATTGGGAGCCAGCAGGTAATCCGAGCTCATTCTTGGCCACATGAGAGAAAAGCAGACAAAATAGATTGTCAACAACGGGAGGAAAGATGCCAAAGGAGACCTACTAGGACTAGACACCATTTCACTTTAATTTAAAAGTAAACTTCCTGGAAGCTTTGAGTCGACTCTGATGCCCCTGTGTGGGTCACAATGAAACTGCCTCTGGTTTTCAATGACATTTTGGAAATAGAGAGTCAGGCCTTCTCTCCTGCCCCACTAGGTGCCTCTGAGTGGTTTGGAATCTCCAACCACCCAGGAACTCATTTCAGCGTAGGAGCTTCTGTTATGCTAGCTCTTTATGTTCAATGTCCATGCATTCCAACGACTGCCAAGTCCAGGCTCCAACCACACCTTGTCTCCCATTCAGGCTGTTCCTGGTCATCGAGTATGTCAACGGGGGGGACCTCATGTTCCACATGCAGAGGCAGCGGAAGCTTCCGGAGGAGCACGCCAGGTGAGGGGCACCTCAGAGGGGGCCGGTGGTCAGGGGCTCAGCAGTGAGTCCAACAGAAGGAACTGGGTTGGGGCAAGCTCAGGGTCATGGTGTGGGGGCATGGAGTCCTCCTAACATTCTGCACAAGGAGCTACACAAACCCTGCTCTTTGTGAGACATTAAAGGACGACGTGTGCTCCTCACTCAACTCCAGGGTCAGCTGATGCCTTTCCCTGACAGCCTCAGGACCCCCGGGAGGGGACCTCGAGAAGGGACTCGGGTGCATTTGGAGCCTTGCTTACCTCCACCACCCTGTTTAGTTTTCCAGCACCATCCATTGTCTAGTTTTTCTCACTTAAGAGAAAAAATGTTTGTGGTTTATAAGCCCCCTTACAACTCTCTGGGGAAAGGCAAGTGATAATCAGGAACAGCCCCCTCCTCACCTGAAAGTCTTTCTGGGCCACCTTCAAAGGGTGTGGGGGTCCCCGGTGGCCCTTCCCAGGTGCCTCTCTGTGCAACTTTCCATCCCAGCTGACAGGCCGCCCCCGGCCGCCCCCAGGTTCTATGCCGCAGAAATCTGCATCGCACTTAACTTCCTGCATGAGAGGGGGATCATCTACCGGGACCTGAAACTGGACAACGTGCTGCTGGACGCAGACGGGCACATCAAGCTGACCGACTATGGCATGTGCAAGGTCAGCCGCCAGACAGCCGTCAGTAGCCCTCCTGCCCCAGTGGTCCTGCACTGGTGGGTTCCCCCACAGGTTGCATCCCCCGCCGGTCACTAAGTTCTGTCCCCACAGGAAGGCCTGGGCCCCGGCGACACCACGAGCACTTTCTGCGGAACCCCAAATTACATCGCCCCAGAAATCCTGCGGGGAGAGGAATACGGTGAGCCCAGAGCTGTAGGGGAGGGGGAAGTTCCCTGACTCATCTGCCAGGCCTGTATGGTCATCACCCCTGGGCTATCTGCTCTTCTGGAAGACATGGCCATAGAGCAGACCCAGAAGGGGTAGAGGGTCCTGCTTGGACCAACTCCATTGAGGGTCAGATTCAGAAGCAAGGAGTCCGTGACCTGGAAGAGGGTCTTCATGGACTGTTTTACAACTAACACAAAAAGCCCACTCACACACACACACACACACACAGACACACAAATATACAGGCGTGTGCTCACTTGCATGCACACGCCTGTATATTTGCCCCACTTGGGTTGTGGCATCTGGCTCCCGCCCTTTACTCACACCTGGTAACTTCCCAGATGCCATTGGGTGCAGAACACAGGACAGGATGCCTCCTATCAAGGAAGGAGGAAATGATGCCCAAAGCCCAGGCAGACAGCGGTCAGCGTATCATCCATGGTACATACAGCCCGCTAGTGGGGGGGCGAGACAAAATCATGGTCTGTGATGGTCAGAGGCATCCTTCCAAGCCACCTCAGCTTCCAGGTCTGGTTGTGAAACAAATGAGTGTGTGCACACATTAGGTTACACATGTTCATAGCTGAGTGTTTTTAATGAAACCCACCACAATTATACCAATAAATATTTTTAAATGTTTCACCATTAAGCTTGGGGGTGGGAGGCAGGGTGGGCTGGCTAACCTGCCTTGTCAGCTTACGCACACCTGGGAAGCATCTATGATCACAGGTACTTGGTCTCAAGGAAGGAAGGCTGGCAGGTCAGTGGGCCAGAGGGAGAGTACAGTTTGACCCAGGTGGGGACTCTGTATGACTGAGTGGCATCTCAGCCTATCCAGGTGGGTGCACTATTGTATTGCTTTAACACTAGGGCAGCTGTTTCCCCCACACCAGAATGTGTTTCAGAGTCATCATTTGAACATTAGGGGGGAAAACAAACAGAAGATGATACAGAAATGTATCTGTATAATCTTGGTGATTGAGTTTTTTAAAGCTTAGTTAAAACCATAAACAAGAAAGAAATCTGACAGATTTGATCTGTCGTAAACATTCCGTGGTCGTAGATGCTCTGGTTAAGTTCCAAGACCAGGTGATGACCTTAGCAAGCTATGCAACATCAGAGCGTGAGGGACCTCAAGATGGACTTCTCGCCTTCCAACTGGGAGAGCTAGTCTCCATTCCCAGCTAAGATACCTCCTGCTCAGTCACCACCCATCTGTCACTGGAGGCTTGCTTGTTGCTGACATGCTGACCAGGTTTCAGCATAGCTTCCGGACAGAGACAAACTAGGTAGAAAGGCCTAGAGATCTACTTTCAAATTTCAGCCACTGAAAACTCTATGAATCATAATGGTCCTGCCCCACCCGAACATGAGGATGACACAGACCCCAGGCAGGGTCGCATCCCATTGTCCATTGGGTCACATGAGTCAGGGTTAATACAACTCATTGGTGATTTCGAGGTAGACTTGTGACCGTCAACAAGAGAGACAAGAAAAGGACAGTCACCCACCTGGACAGGTGGTGCTTCTCTTTTCTAAAAACACACAAAACCTCAACCATGACCAAAGAAATGTCGGTTCCCATTCCTCCATGTGTGCTTGGTTCAAACTCTGTCTCAGCAAACCAGCCATGACTGCATGCAGTCGGCTGCTCAGTGTGACTAACCACTTGGCATGATCAGCATGCTCTTCCCAGGGTTCAGCGTGGACTGGTGGGCCCTCGGTGTGTTGATGTTTGAAATGATGGCTGGGCGATCCCCCTTTGACATCATCACCGACAACCCTGACATGAACACGGAGGACTACCTTTTCCAAGGTATGTGACTACCTCTTCCATGCGAGACCCAGTCGTGCCCACCACTTCCTCCCTTTGTTCTTAGAGGTTCCTTCATGTTTCATAGATGTAGGTGGAAGAGTCCAGCACTTAGCTGCTCAGACTGGGACCCACTTGTAAAAGAGCACCTGTGCTTGGTGATTTGCAAACACCCAGGGTAACCATGCCCCCTACTCTTCAGACCTACTCTCAGGCAGACAGAAAGGGCCATCAAGTGTGGGCAGCCCCAGGCAGGGTGATAGGCAGGGTATCTCAGGCCCACTTTGACTGAGCCCTGGTTCACTTCCCCAACCCACATTCACCTTGAGCACTGGCCTTCCCATCTGCCCGGAAGCCTAAGCAAAGGGTTGCTGTGGTCCAGAGCACAACTGTCTCACAGGCGCCCTCTGGTGGCCAAAGAACAGAAGGCAGCAGGGGTGGAGCTCACCAGTGCATATGTAAATCTGGTGCAGGTGGTTCCTGTTATTACCGGATCAAGAAAAAAGTAGCTGGGAGGTACAGGTGCTGACTCTCTGGCATGTTTGAGAGCTTTCAGGATACAGGCAGGGTCTCGGGGTGACTAATTATTCAGAAAGCCAGGGGACCACTGAGTAGACTGCTGGGTTCGTTCTAAGCATAGAGTCAGGGCACAGTGGAGGGACACTTTCTCACTGGTCCCCCCACCCCTGCAGTGATACTGGAGAAGCCCATTCGGATCCCGCGTTTCCTCTCCGTCAAAGCCTCCCACGTCCTCAAAGGATTTTTAAACAAGGTAAGTGCACACATACACATCTTTGTGTGCCTGTGTACATCTATGTCTGTGTGTCTGCGCATGTTTGTGGGGAGGTGGGGGGGGCGGTGAATCACTGTGCTCCTGGTTCTTCATCTCTGCAGTGAACAGAGGCACAGAGCTCTGCATTCCAAGGAGTGTCCAGAGAATGGCCCCCAAAGGGCCAGTGTGGGGACAGAAGCGTGCTAGACCCCTTCCTAGAGAGCGGGCGCCCTTGTTGAGTGAGGTCCTTGCTTGCTACTGACTTGTCCTTGTTTGAACTCTGACCCAGGACCCCAAAGAGAGGCTCGGCTGCCGCCCCCAGACAGGATTCTCGGACATCAAGTCTCATGCCTTCTTCCGCAGTATCGACTGGGACCTGGTAAAGGCAATCCCAGGCTACTAACTCCCCGTGGTGAATAGGGTGGGGACACCCGTATGCCGAGGGAAGTGCGGAAGGGTCCCAGGAGTGGTAGCAGCCCTCTGAGTGGTCGAGACCCATCTGCGTGGACACGAGGCTCCTGGATGCTTGGGTGGAGTTGTTGTTGTTAAGTGCCGTCGAGCCGGTTCCAACCCATAGCGACCCTGTATAGAGTTTCCGAGGATCAGCTGGTGAGCTTGAACCGCCGATCTGGTAGTTCAAACGGCTTTGCAGTCTGGTGCATTAACCCACAGTGCCACACCAGGAGTAGGATGAACCTAAAGGCTTGAGGTGGGCACCTTCCAGAGCCCAGAGGACAGAGGAGGACGGCAGAAGTGGTTTAGAAGCACAGATTTGAGTCCAAAATAAGGAACCCAAGAACAGCAGGATGAGTCTCAGAAGGGACTCTTGGCAGTCTCGACCGTGGGGGATGCAAGGGGCTGTCTGCTGTGTACCACCCCATTCCCCTTGGGGCCCTGAGGAGGGTTGCCTTCGTATTTGTGGTCAGCTTCAAGTCTACCTTTGTTGGCCGCGTTCAGTCACCCATACATGTGGTTGACAGGTGGCCTGTGTGTGAGACACCTATTTTGGATCCCAGCATTCAAAGAAAACTTGAACCTACATTGTATCAGAACACAGAAACTTTTGCAAAGGGACTGAGATATGATTTCCAATATATGCATTTGACAGGACAGAAGACTAGTTAGCTAATTAGACAAATGTTTGGAAATCAGCTTCAGCGGAAACAGAAGTGAAAGGCCGGCTTTGAGGAAAGGGATCTGCTGGCCCCAGCTTGCCTGGCAGCCCACTCCCACTCCCACCCCAACATGGTCACGTTCATCTGTGGAGCAACTCACAAGGAGGGTGGGTTGGGATGGAGGCCCATAGCTCAGCGGGCTATTGTAAACTGAGAGCCTGGTATCTCTCCTGCAGTTTTCTTAGTTGTCATTGGGTCGGCTCTTAGCCTCCTGAACAACCTGTGTTATGTATGCAACCACTGTGTAGTCTCAGCCGAGGGTGCTTCTCTTCCTGCCTGGGACCCGGCAACAGTCTCTTGTGATCCACGGGTTGTCATTGGCTGATTTCAGAAGTAGAGCCCCAGGCCTTTCCTGCTGGTCTTTTACTGTGGCAGCTCTGCTGAAACCTCTCGGCTTTGGGTGACCCTGCTAATAATTAAAATACTCCTAGCTTAGCTCCCAGTGTCATAGCAACACACAAGCTGCCACAGGATGACAAGCTGACAGATGGGTGAGGAACATTCATACACACTTTTATACAGGAGTCCAGGTGGGGTCATCAGCCAAGGCAGTGCCAAGTGATGGTGTGTGCTCTGCCCTTGGGGGGTCCTTGAGGACTGATGGTGTGGGAGTTAAATCAGTGGGCTGCACAAAGTCCACCCACTGTAACCTGTGCACTCTACTCATAGGCCTTAACCAAGGTGAGGATATCTTCCATCTGGGGTTTCAGTGGAGATTTAGCAGAGCTGCCAAGTCCTTTGTCACAGTGCCCACCCCTTGCTGGAATGGCCTGTCTCCCTCAGGCCCCAGGAGCACAAGTAGGCCCTGCGGGGGACTTCCCACCTAGGACCCTGGCCACTCATCTGCTCTGCCTATATGTTGAGACATCCCTGAGCTGAGCATCTCTCCATTGCCTGCCAGATGTAGCACCTGAAAACTCACCGATGCAAATCATTTGGTGGATGGGGCCTTTGGTTTCCACTCTGTGACTGCTCAGGCCTCCCATCCAGACCACGTTCTTCCAAGCTCCACTTCTCCCAGCTCCCTCAGCTCCTCCTAGCTCCTCCCAGCTTCTAGCTCCTCCCAGTTTCTCCTAGCTCCTCCCAGCTCTGCTCCTGGTGTGTTCCTCTTTACCCCCAAAGCAGGGAGTGTTCATAGTCTGTCCAGATTTCTGCCTTTGGTAGTGGGCGGGTCTGAGTTACAACTGCCACCTCCATGCCTGGAACACGGAAATTAGCAGCACCACAGAAAAATCATAGAACAAAGGTGAACCAACAAGAGAAAATAGGCCCGCTACCTATCTACCAGCCGTTCCGGACTTTGGGGAGTGCATCCTCATAGGGTGTGGTGGGTTCCAGCCAGACACTTGCCCCTCCTTCAGCGCCTCCTACGTGGGCAGAGGGTACTATGACATGCCTTTTGAATGGCATGGTGGCACCTCCCAGGGCTACTGCCCCTACCCTCATCCTGCTTATTCTTGCAGGGTAACAAGGGCTGTCCTGGGAGAACTTTGTTGGAAAACCTTACTCCATCTACCCTACAGCCCTGATCTTACCCCTTCAGACTTCTTGTTCCCCAAACTCAAAGGACATTGAAAAGATTTGAGTCCCTCGGGGATGTCAGAACTGCCCCGTTCATGTGGTGTAAGTAGAAGAATGCAGAGTTCTTCAGAAAAGCATTGGAGAGAAGAAAAGACCACCTTCAAAAGCGTATAGTCATAGATACTGAGAAATAATAGCTTCACATCTTAGTATTTAAAATAAAGGTTTCTGTGAATTTTGTAGGAAGCACTGTGGCTTTGTAGGATAAGAACTGGACTGCTAACCACAAGGTCAGCCGTTTGAGTCCATTAGCTGCCCCTCAGGAGAAAGATGAGGCTTTCTGCTCCCATAGACAGCCTCAGAAACCCTGTCCAGGGTCGCTGTGAGTTGGAATCAACTCGACAGCACTTAACGATTTTGCAACAGTACTTTCTGACTGACCCCTAGCATTTAAACACCAATTATCGTCCTTTTTGTGGTTTGCGTGCACACGCAGACTGAACCTCGCCGAGGTTACGCACAGCCCTGACCAGGTATTTCCTGTGTTGTTTTCCAAGCTGGAGAAGAAGCAAGCCCTCCCTCCGTTCCAGCCACAGATCACAGACGACTATGGTCTGGACAACTTTGACGCGCAGTTCACCAGCGAGCCGGTGCAGCTCACCCCAGACGACGAGTAAGTTCTACCAGGGGAATCAGGGCTCTCGTGCTGAGCTGATGGGTGGGGTGACTGTGATTCCAGGCATCTGGCCTATGGGAGAGAGGTCCACGCTTGGCTGAAGTCAATACCTTTTCAATTTCCTACCATGGTTGGTGCAACAGTTAAGCGTATGTTTGCTAACCAAAACATTGGTCATTTGAGCCCAGCAGTGGCTCCATGGAAGAAATACCCTGGCAATCTGCTTTCCTAAAGATCACAGCCAAGAAAATCCTATGGGGCAGTCCTACTCCGTCATCGAGGGTGACCGAGTTTCTGAATGGACTCCACAGCATACAGCTGTGGGTTTGGCCTGAGGAATCCTATGAGGGTAGAAACCCAGGGAGACATTCTTGATTCTCTCTCTCCTTCACCCACAGGGACGCCATCAAGCGGATTGACCAATCCGAGTTTGAAGGCTTCGAGTACATCAATCCCTTACTGCTCTCCACCGAGGAGTCTGTGTGAGGCTGCGGCAGCCCTGCAGGGACGCACCGTGTGAATGACCCTTTAACTTTATCCTTAACCACAGCATATGCATGCCAGGCTGGGCGAGAGGCTTGGAGTGCGGCCAGGGAGGGACACGCGCTGCCAGGTCCGTGGAGTGAGGCTTCTGTGGGCGCTTCCTCTGAAGAGAACAGTCTTGGCATCTGGGCCCGATGGCCGGCTCCCAGCAGACGGAATCTGCTTCTTGTGCCTGTGTGAGGTGGCGGAGCTGCGGTACCCATGTGCAGGGAGAGGCTGCCGCGCACTTTTTAGAAACTGAACTTGATGCACCAACGGCTCCTCCAAGAGGGCGAGCGTGTAATGTCCCGGGGGAATAAAGTGTACCTATGATGTCCAAGCTTCCTCCCGATGCCTTTTTTCCCCAGTGGCACGTGCCGGGCACCCCGACGCCACCCCCACACAGAGGCACTGTGCTAGGTGCACAATCAGATAAGAGGTGGGGGGACAGGAGTCTAAGTGCCTAAAGGGACACCCCGCGATGGAGAATTTGTACAGACTCGGAACATTTTCTAAGTCCCGGTAAGTTCCTGTTGTTAATATTTAACAAGTATTTTCGTACGGCGCATGTCACTCACCTGATGTCACCTTCACCGGATGGGCACCATTGGCCTTGGCCAGCGCACTGGACTGTGATGGCAAAATTGGATCCTAGCGATTTTAAACACGTGGCTTACCAAAGCACCCGCAGACCAAAAAAAAAAGAGAACATCAAAAACTAAAATCTGCACAAAATACATTTCTGAAAACACGGAGCAGTGCCTACGTGATGTCTTGTGTCCTGTGTGGGATCTATGGGGGATGTTTTTATTGGAGGGTCATACAGTATTCAGAATGAGATTTAAAAGGATGTGTGTATGAAGAAGAGCCCTTGGAGAGTCCCTGGGTGACACAAATGGTGAACAGGCTCAGCTGCTAACGGAGAGGTTCGAGTCCACTCCATGGTGCCGTGGAAGAAAGGCCTGGCAATCTACTTCCAAACACTCAGCCGCTGTAAACCCCATGGAGAGAAAGGTCACCATGAGTCAGAGTCAATGGCACCTGAGTATCCCGAGGCCCTGGCTTAAGGTCACATGCAAGTCTAGATGTCCACAGATAGCCCCTTTTCCTGGCAAAGTTCCCTGCCTGCTTCTGAGACCTGCCGAGGCCTTGGGACATTCACTCAGCCTTTCTCTATGAAGGGCGGCTTATAGAACCAAACTCTAGGTTTTCTAAAAATCTTTAAAGAGGGGTCCCCTCCATGTTTGGATTTGTGAACCCCTCACTGTCCAGATGAGTATGGGAAGGTTCTACCTACAATGAGGCCTAAGGCCCCATCCAATCAAGAGCCAGATCCCTCCCTGAGGTCTCCACAGCACGCAGCCACACACCAGGACCATGGGGCTGAAGGGTGTGGTGAGGAAGGAGCAGAGACCCGGGACCAAGGTGTCCCTGCTCAGACTCACAGGCTTCTCAGGGTATGGCGTCTGGTGCTGAACGCAGCACCTCGGATCCACCAGGCCCCGCGGTGCTAGGACGGGAGTGCCAATATGCTGACGTGCTAGCGGCCCGTCCCCATACTGCCCCAGGCATGCCTGGTGGTACAGGGGCCTGGACACCCCACTCTGGAGCTGGGGCAGCTTCTACCCAACATGGGGTCGTAACACAGCCAGCACACCGCTCATAACCCAGAAAGGTGGGCTCAGGGGCTGCAAAACAGGTCAGAGAATTGTCTCCCAGAGCCACTGCCCAATTGATGTTCATCAGACAGTTGCTGATGAGTGGCTCTGTCACATGTAACTTCAAGCAGGGCAGCTGGGACGTGCTGATGTCCACGCACAGAGATGGACAGACTGCCTCCAGCGGGCCCCGCTCCCACAACAGGGGTTACTGTGATGCTCTTGGCACAGTGACACTTGTTTGTGCAATTGTGTGGGGCCCTTGACTTTTTAGGCTTATCCAGCAATTTACCCACAGTGCCGCCGTGTTGCCAAATAGCTCGCCGGTTACCAGTGTGATTGCCCATGTACAAAATGTATGGAGAACGCTCTGTTCATGATGAAGGGAAGATTTTTATATGCATTCATTGTTTTATAAATTATAAAAGCGGAAGAATGTAATTACAGATGTGGTTTGGGGAAAAAAAAAAGAAATCACGCTGTAGCGCGGGTCCTTTGAAGTTGTTCCCGGGGACTCTGGTGATGGTGACGGCACAGCTGTAGATACATCAGTGTGATTTGTACAATGGCCCGGCAGAGCTCCTCGCCAGCCGGCTTCCTCCTGTGGACAATAACGCTCACCCTCCATGGCCAAGGCCGTTCATGTTCTTCACATCCATTAAAGACGGTCAGAAAACACTGATACTGTTGTTATTTTCATTGAAATAAAGTAGACGTGTGAGCCTCCTCTGGCTGTGGTGACAATATACCAGAAAGTGGGTGACTGATAAGAACATTCATTCATTCATCCACAGTTCGGGAAGCAGGCGGTCCAAATTCAGGAGGTTGGCAGGATCAGGTTCTCTCAGAAGGCTCGAGGAGGAAGAATCCTTGCCTCCTGGCTTCGGGTGACCCCAGATGGTCGCGGGCTTACAGCTGTAGTTATCACTGTCTGTCTCTCCTCCGTTACAAGGCCCTCCCTGCCTCCAGAGATGGGACTCGCCCAATCCCAGCAGAGCCTCACTTCAGCTGATGACATTTTCAGAAATGCTATTTCACATTACAGGGAAGCAGATATTTGGACTTCACAAATAACTGGAGGCAGAGGGCACAATGCAACCTGTAATAATGAGTTTTCAGACAAAAAGGTTCTGGAAGTGATTTTTGTGGGGTTTTTTTTTTTTTTTTTTCCCAAGAAAAACTTAAGTCTCTCCACATTAATCCAGGCTGTCCACACTGTATCTCACCCCAACCCCCTGCCACAGTTCTCCAGCCGCCATGATGGAAATGGGGGGTCAGAATGCTGAGTTTGATACCAGCCCGAGGGACAGCAGTCAACACACACCCTTTCCAAGCCAGATCAGCACAGTGACCACCTGGGGGTCTGCCCGGGGCTCGTGCTCCTCTTGGTCTATAAACGGAGAGGGTACTTGAAAACTGTCTGGGATAATGTATCATCCAAGTCCATGTAGAGATTTCAAGCATGGAGATTAGGGGATGCTTAAGTCCCTGGTCAGCCAACTGTCCAGAGGTGGGGCTGATAGAGCTTTCCACTGCCAACATGTCTGCCACTTACCTGCCTGGGAGCGTGTACCCATAAAGGTACACTGATTTTCTGACTGTGGCAAATCGGAGTTCAAATGCTTGGACGCATGTCAGGAAAGAGAAAGGAACCGAACGTCTCTGTCCCCACACAAAGGCACTGTCAACCTGCTTCCGATGTGACATCTTTAATGCTGACATTCAGGTGTGGAGATGACACAGGGTGGGGGAGGCACCGGAGCCGCTGGCAGTATCCAGGCTGCCCACCTCCACAGGGTTAGTTAGTAAGGTGCCCAAGGGCTGTGTTCAACACCGGTCTCAACTTCACCACATGATGTCATCTGTGCTCTCTGCCAAGCACTGGGCCAGGTGGCCATCAATGTCCAGCTGGGATAGCCTGTGAGGTGAAGGGGACATGGGTAACTCACCTGGACTGAGTTTTAAGCCTGCAGGGCTCAGGGCTGGAAAACACTTAACTGCTGCTGTTCCCAATGGCGCCAGATGGAAAAAGGCACATCTCTGACCAGAAGTGCTGTCGAGTCGGTTCTAACTCATAGCGACACTGTACAGGGTTTCCAAGGAGCAACTGGTGGGCTTGAACTACAGACTCTGTGGTCCGCAGTCCAGTCCTGATCTTACAGCACCACACTAGAGAAGTACTGTTGTTATGTGCCGTGGAGTCGGTTCCGACCCATAGCGACCCTGTACAGGGTTTCCGAGGCTGTAAATCTTGACGGGAGCAGAAAGCCTCATCTTTCTCCCACGGAACAGCTGGTAGTTTCGAACTGCTAACCTTAAGGTTCGCAGCCCGATTCGTAACCACTACGCTACCAGAGCTCCTTAGAGAAATATTGCAAGGTATGAAATCACCTTTGTTCTAGGTTTTCTGGAAAATTTTACCTAAGACATGGATGACCCCTGAAGATTTGTTAGGCCGGTCTGACTAGGAAGCCTGCCCACTAAGAGACAAGGAAAGAGCAGCTTTTAAAAGCCTGGAACATGGAGGCTCAGGAACTTCCTGGTTGACAAAAACACATCCCCTAAAGCACGGAAGCTCCATTCTGAAAATCCTCCCAATCCCTGCGGAGGGCTGTGGTAGCTGAGAAGCAAGCGTAGCACCAGCCAAAGAGCCTCAGAGACCAGAGCCTCTCCCACCTGCCCCCCGCCAAAGCACTCTGGCCACCGAAGCCTGGAACAGCGCTTAAAGCAAACAGGTCTGAAAGCTGCTACCATAGGAGCTTGTTTGCTCCAAGAACTGTCCTTACTGACTACAGGTGGCATGTACTCTCCACTTTGGTGACCCTTCCAAACCAGATGCCGAGTCTAGTTGTATCTTGTTACTGCTGAGGTGTCTTCTTGTGTCCTACTGAGTTGTAGCCTTTTTACCATCTGAGCGTAAAGTATGGTCCGAGCTCTGTAACGTTACAGTGAATCAAAGCTAGCAGAGAAGAGGGGGCAGCTGGTGTCAGGAATCATGGAGAAGTTAGAAAGTGATCGCCACCTTTTGTGCTGATTCTTATTCAAGAAATTATCCATTTAGGCACCTTCACACCCTGGCATGGATGTTAAGTTGGCAACATCATGAATGGTCTGCTGGAGGCATAACTTGGCTGCAGCGGGAACAGAGACAGCTGGCCATCCATGACCACGCTCAGGGCTTCAAGGCCCTACATGGGCCTCACTAGCTCACAGATGTCCTTTTCCAAATTGTTGGAACTGTTTTCTCAGTCAAAGGTCTTCACAGCATGGCTCTGAACACATAAGACACATTCTCCGCCTTCCCCCAACACCAACTTCCTAACACATTAGAGGGGACCCAGACTGGCACTGGTAACCCAAGTCTAAACACAGCCTTCCAGTACCGCCGCCACTTGAAAACAAGTGGCATCCCTTCTGACATCTCCAGCTCAACGCCCCCAGGGCACTCTGCACTTACACGGGAATTTCCCACAGTCTGTCTAGGCCGGTCCATTCCCTCCACCCCCATTCCCATTCCTCCAGCCTGAACCGCATCCCTGCCTCAGCTCCCAGGCACTGTCGAGAGCGCCCCCACCTCCCACCTCCTGCTCTCAGCACCTGGGATCATCTACGTCTGGACTCGCCTCTCACCTGTGGGCACAGTGAGTCAGAGATGCCAATGATTAAAATGCCTCTGGACCTGAAGACCTCCCACAGAGCCCCCCTACTATCCAGCCCAGGTGCTGTCTCCTCACCATCAGACCCGCGAGACGTGCAACATTGCGGGTCCACTGGCGAGGTCACCTGACTAAACAGAATGGTCTTTGCCTCTAGCCAGTTTGGGGTCCAACTGTTGATAGTAGGCATCATTTCAAGAGTCCTGTCCTTACAAACTTTCCCCAAGAAATATAACTCCAAGAAACTTTGGTCAAATTATGGTTAGGCAACAACCACCAGCAACTGCCATGGCATCAATGACTGCGTCTAGCTGTTCATCTGGGCCCTCTCGCACCTTCTCAAGGTGCATGACCCCTGTCCAGGGGCCTGGGCTGCCCTGCCTTCCTCAGCCCAGTGGTCACCAACTGTTGGAGTACCATTGTTGTTGCTTGTAATGTGGGCCTGTCTTCTGGCTGAAGTACACTGTCTTGTTTACAATCAAACCTAAGAACACGCTCGAAGCATTCCAGACACACTGAAACCTGGACCTAACATCACCAACACCCACTTCGGAAAACTCAGCGGCACTCTGCCAAGCTCTTTAAACAAGTGTTTAAAAGCTCAAAACACACGCGTTTTTCTCAAATATCCCTGTCTTGGGGAATCTTTTTATAGATCATCCAGAAACTGAAAGGATCCAAAGACAAAGCCCTACCACAACCATCGCCAAGTGAGGAGGAGGGGCCAGGGCAGCCCTGATGGCAATGCAAATGTTAGGGGCTCCTACCAGGAAAGGCAACCTCCTTAAGAGCCTTCACCAGGATCTTCTGTGTCCTGCTTTTGGGTACTGACCAACAGCATCTCACTGTTTTAAGAGAAGATCACTGTTTGGCTAGGACCAGTCAGCAAATAGGACTTCCAGCTTACAACAATGTAAATACCCCTGATGTGGCGCTGCAGGATAATACGCTGAACCACAAAATCAGTCTTAAGCCATAAGGCTGGCAGTTCAAATCCACCAGCTGCTCCTCAGAAACCCTACATAGGGTTGCTATGAGTCGGAACCACCTTGACAGCACTTAACACCACCACCAATATGAGAAGGAAGTATAGACAATGACACACTGAGCTCTGAAGCATTTTTCTAAGTCTCCAGTTTCATTTCAGGCTCAGGAGTCCTTGTGTGGAGCAAACAATTACACACTACTAACTGACAGGTCAGAGATTCAAGTCCACCAAGAGGTGTCTTAGAAACTAGGCCTGGTAATCTACTTCGGAAAAATCCACCATTGAAAACTCCATGGAGTACAATCTGCTCTGATACACCCAGGGCTGGCATTAGAGTGAAATATGTTGTTGTTGTTGTTAAGTGCCGTCAAGTTGGTTCCGACCCACAGCAACCCTGTATAGGGTTTCCAAGGCTGTAAATCTTTACGGGAGTAGAAAGCCTCATCTTTCTCCCGTGGAGCCACTGTTAGTTTCGAACTGCTGATCTTAAGGTCCGCAGCCCAATTCGTAACCATTACACTACCAGAGCTCCTGAGTAAAGTATGCAACAACTGATTTCGGTTTCAGTTCTAGGCTGGGGAAGTTTCTAGAAGTACTTTGGCAGGCTCACCCTCTACAATGGAATGCTCTCTCGTACTCAACCCTCCTGCCAAGCCCATCTTTTACCCGCCTGTGGATTCACCTAGGACAGTCACCTTCTGGGACAGTCACCTTCCCAAGACCAGAAACCAGCCCTTTCAGACTCCCCAACCCCCAAACGATCTAGGTGTCATTACCCTGTCATACTCAGTGCTACAGGCTACAATGTTGATGAGAACTTAAAACAAAAGAATCACTAATTCACATCCAACAAAGACTAAGATACCCAACCCATTCCTACACCAGCTTCATCTACATGGCTGGCTGGAGGCACACCCCCAACCCTGGCTCTTGTGTACAGATTGGAATTGCCTAGACATCTGATTCTAAGATATGTACCCACCTCTCTGAATAAAAGCATCTAAGATGATTTTATGCTAGAGAGTTTGATAACTGGTTCAACCTGTAGTTTGGGGCTAACTTTGCAATCTATGCCCCTTCAACCTGTTTTTGATTCTCCAAAACCAGAGACATAGCAAGTAATTTCCACACACATTCTCCCGGCCTGCTAAACCTGGAGCAGTTGGTTGCCAGAAGCCTGTTCTGTCTGTACTAGGTTAGCGCCAACTAGCTCATTCCTACTGTCCAGAGCCCACGATTTCGTGTCAGTGCTGAGATTCAGCGAGAGATAAGTTAAAGGCTCCACAGGTAACTGGCCTGACCCAGCCAGACATGTGACTCCCACACTGAGCAGTTTCAACTTCTTAGCAAAATTGGGTTTTACACCCGAGTTGGAGTCCTAGAGTGGTACTGTAGGATAAGAACTTGACTGCAAGGCTGGTGTGAACCGCAAGGTCTGTAGTTGAAACACATCAGCCGCTCATCAGAAACCCTTTACAGAGTGGCTATAGGATGCGATGGACTCAAAGGCACTAAAAACAGCCACCCCTTAGTTAGAAACAAGACATAAAGAGATCTTCAGTTTTTAAGTGGAAAAAAAAAATTTTCCAGACATCACAACCAGATCTTCATATTAGAAGTCTTTGTCCACAGAACCAGACCCAGCCTGCCATGGTCCTGAAGGTAAGTACCCTGGGCTGGAGTCTTGGGCTTTACCAAATGGAGGATAGGCTCCCTGCCTCCTGGAGAGTCTTGTGGACCTAAATTTGTACCCCAGAAGATAGATCCCTGGACAGGTGGTGAACTCCCAACCCAGTAAACTGGGTAAGGCGGGCCACACTAGATACACCCAGCTTTCTGTGCATGAAGTGTGACTTTATATGGGCCAAGTTGACATGGTTGGCCTGTTAAAAACGATGTGGTTTCCAAACAGGGCTGGGGGCCGCGGGGGCCGCGGGGGCCATGGGGGAGGCGGAGGTGTGGGCCACTCACGTGGTACGGAATTCCACCTGACACATGGGGCAGCACCGGAGGGTCGGTGTCTCCTCCACAGATGGTGGCTTCTCCTCCACGGATTGTGGCTCCTTGGTGCTGGAGGTCCCTTGGGGCTCGGGCTCAGAGCATTGGAATGGGGGCCGGACGGGGGAACCCGGGCACCCTTCAGCCCCACGGTTCAGACAATAGGAGCGGCTGTGCTGTGGAGCCGGTGGAAAGGGCGTCCAGGAAAAGACCTTGCCCCCAACAGTGAAGATCTCAGAGGGTACCATGTGCTCAGGGCTCTGCTGGGGATCCTGCAAAGGTAAGGGTGGTCCGCCTGGGCCAGCCTGGAGATCTGACCAGACGCGACAGCATGTCCAACACTTCAATGGACCCCGACATGGGTCCTCAGCCCACCCTCAACCAAGTGGTACCACGCGTCTAGATAGTGCCAGCATTCCCGAAAGTCACCGTGTCCCTAGGACAGGACCTGATGGCAGTAAGGTGTAGGGTGTGGGGACCCAGGACGCACCTGATGTGGGAAGGACGGAAGCGGAGGGGGCGTGTCGGCCAGGTCCACGTCTGGGCGCAGAGTACGCAGAAGCTCAGCCCAGGGCTCTGTGTTCCCGCTCCCAGTCTCCTGCAGGAACCAGGGGCGGCCACTGGAGGGCCTAAGGATATGGGGTGGGGGGGCGGTCAACGAAGGGCTACACAGCGGAGGGAAAGCTCAGTGAAGGGAGGGGAGAGAAGGCAACTGCTAGAGGGAGTGGACTTTGCCGGTGAAAGTTATGAAATGGGGTAAGGGGCTCAACATCATGGGAGAAGAACAGCGGCGGGGAGTGGGAAGGAGCGAGAGGGCGGGAGAGGGGCGGTGCGAGGGGAGGGGACTCCTCCATGTGGCGTAGAGGGGACGCTCTCCCGGCAGGAGGTGTTAAGTTCGCCCGGGACTTCACCACCCAACTTTCCCAGGGAACGGGACCGCGGGCCCTCCTGCTCGGCCTCACCTGTCCTCCGACGTAAGCCTTCGGCGGCGGCTCAATCTCAGGCGTGGCCTGTGCCCACCGCCCGCGTCCGCCGCCATCTGCCCGGGCGCGCCCCCGCCGCTCCTGGTGCGTCCGGCGGAAGTGAGGCCACCGGCGACCCCGCCCCGCGCCAAAATGTTCTGGACCGGGACCCCTACTCCCGCCCATACTCCAGACCCTACCTCACAGTGTCTAAACCGGAGTGACCCCAGCTCTGTGACACTGTCGGAGTGAAAAGTACCGTGACCATATCCTATGGGGAAACTGAGGCAGGGGTTACTTCCTCCTCCATCGCAGAGAGAGGGGACTACGTTGGTTGATGACCTCGCAATGCACCCCCTCTGTTACCCCAAAATCACCTTTCAGAGAATGTTGGGCAGGCTTCCTCTAGCTTCACACCCCTCCACCTCTAGTAACTGGCAGCGACAATGAGCAGGAAATCACGTGGTGGGATCCCCATCCGAGGTCCGCAGGTCTGGAGTGGTGGCGGGGTGGGAAACGGCCCCGCCCTGGTCCCGTCGTATTCCAGGCTCATTTAGCCGCTCTATGACCCAGTTGTTGGAGGGAAGACTCCTTGAGTAATAAGAATGCTCACATTGGTCTCCCGGAGAAGTTGTTTCTTACCTACACTAGGGAAGTGGGGTTCTCTCATCAATAAAGAAGTAAACAACAACGTCCAGAGGCCGCCTAAGCCTCAGGGTTCGGGCCCGGACGCTGGACCTGTGAGCAGGTGTGCCCAGAGCAGGCAGGGAGTGGACAACTGGTGAGGCCCCCTCCTCACCCCTCCCGCCAAGCGTCGCATGCTCACCAGGTTCTGCCACTTGGTGGCAGCAGATGCTCAGGAACCCTCTGGGCTGATCCCGGGACCCACCCTTCCCAGCCCTTGCTCCTCTGGGCCCTTTTCCCCAGGACACGTGGCTACCCCTTAGGAGACAAGAGGACTGTATATAGGGCCTCCTGAACTGACCTCCACTGGGGACTACCGGAGGTGAGTGATGGGCCGCTCCTTTCAGGGGCCAGGTAATGGGACCTCGGTCACTTCTGATGCCCCCCCCCCCCCAGGAGCTCTGGAACGCTGCTTGACCATCTCCTCTGTAGTGTCTTATCCCCATCCTCTGTAGGGTCTTATCCCCACCCCCTCACCTCTGCCCCTTCCCTGCAGACTCCTACAGCCTCCTGAAAGCCCAGTGGTGTTCAGCCTCCTCCAGGAAGCCTCCCCGGCCCACCACTACAGTTGCCCATCCTCTCATCTGTAGTCTGGGCTGGACCGGACACAGGTTTACTTAATCAGCAAACACTCCCTGAGTGCCTACTCGTGCCAGAGACCCTGGGGGGACAGGAAGCTAGAGACAGAGCCCACTTAGGAATCACTTATGGCCAGAAAAGCAAATGTATGTATAAGACATGGTGGGTGGTGGGTCATGTGAAGAGGTCACAGAAGAGCTACAGATGACAGGGTGGTCTTGAGGCTGCTGGAGGAAGTGGGCCTGGCTTCTGAGGGATAGGCTGTAGGAACTTCCTGGTTTCCTGAGGCAGGACACCATCCATAGCGTGCCTAGCTCCTGGACTATGCCTTCATCCCTTCTTCCCTTTCTACCTGTGATGCGCCCCAGTTTAAAGCTTCTCAGTCTCCCACCTCACTCTCTCTTGAGTTCCCTTGGGTGGCCATGAGTGCCTGTCACCCCACTGGCCTTGGGGCCCAGAGCCAGCTTCAGGAGATAGGTTTCAAACCCTGGGCTTTTCTCCTTGCTATCCTGTTCTGGGTACCCTTGGACCAAGCTCAGGAAATTCAGCCCCTGACCCCCATTGACTTTGGGGGGAAGGACTCACGGTGTAAGCAAGGACACATGTTTGGGCACACGGTCACTCCTGAGCAGGTGTCCTTCAGGGTTGTTGTTGTTGTTGTTAGATGCCATCGAGTTGGCACTGACTCTATGCACAGCAGAACGAAACACTGCCCAATCCTGGGCCAGCCTCACTACTGTTGCCACGCTTGAGTCCATCAATGCTGCCACTTGGCCAATCCATCTCATTGGAGGTCTTCCTCTTTTTCTCTGACCCTCCACCTTACCAAACATGATATCCTTCTCCCGCTACTGGTCCCTCCTGACAATATGTCCGAAGTATGAGAGACGAAGTCTGGCCATCTTGGCCTCCAAGGAACACTCTGACTATACTTCTTCCAAAACAGATCTATTGGTTCTTTTGGCAGTCCACGGCACTTTCAATATTCTCCTCCAACACCATAACTCAAAAGCATTAATTCTTCTGCGGTCTTCCATATTCATTGTCCAGTTTTCACATGCATATGAGGTTACTGAAAATACCATGGCTTGGGTCAGGCGCACCTTAGCCCTTGAGCTGACATCTTTGTTTTTCAATACTTTAAAAAGTTCCTGTGCAGCAGATTTGCCCAATGCAACACGTCGTCTGATCTCTTGACTGCTGCTTCCGTGAGTGTTGATAGTTGATCCAAGAAGAATGAAGTCCTTGACAACTTCAATCTTTTCTTCATTGATAAGAATGTTGTTTATTTGTCCAGTGGTGAGGATTTTTGTTTTCTTGACATTGAGATATAATCCATACCAAAGGCTGTGCTCTTTAATCTTCATCAGTAAATATTTTAAGTCCTCTTCACTTTCAGGGTAGAGGGACCCAAGTCACCCTGGGAATCCCACACTGGGAGCTTTCCTGGGTTCTTCAGCACAGTGGCCACATGGCATGGGAGTAGCCCCCAGATGCCTCTGCCATCCCAGGGCTGACCAGACACACTGCATTCCTTAAGGAGTACTGACTGACCCCTGGGAAGCAGTTGACTGGGAAGAGTTGACTGACTTAGCTGGGGTCTTCATCCATCAGCCCACCCAGGCCCTGTGGCTAGACTTGGGCTCAGAGGGTGGGGGAAGACAAGACAGTACAGTACATCAGGGGGCCTCTTGACCATGACAAACTGAGCCCAAGAGGCCCCACAGAGAATGGAGATGGATGACCCCTGCCCCAGTGTCAAACAGGTGCCTGCATTTGTCAGGAAGCCCCCCTACACACAAATCCCCTTCCGCATCGCTGATTCCCCCAACAGCTGCTGACTGCCGGCAGGGGACAGGCCAGGCTCCAGTCAGTAGGAAATGGAGCTGTGAGTGTCCATCACCCCAGCCCACCTTGCTGTAGCTGTGTTCCAGTCATTTGAATAGCACAGATAGGGTAGTGGTGGGGCTAGAGCAAGTTTAAAAGTTGAACTTGATTAAAAAGTCTTATTTTTTCTGCACCATCTGCTGCGGTGACGGGGGCTTAGTTTTATTGGGAAATAATTTCTGATTGGGACTGATGCGGGCTCCACAGAAACATGGATTTTTTTTTCCCCCAAGCCAAAATTTGTATCTACTAGAGAATATTTCAGGCTTTGGGGGAGGCACCCGAGGTCTCATTCCCATGGGTATGGTGCCTTGGTTCGGGCAGAGGGTGCGGGTGGACAAGCTTCCTGCATTGTCCTCATCACGGTGGGTGAGGCCTCCCCTGAGGCAGAGGGAATTGATTCTCTGCTTGACTCTGTCCACTCTAAAATGATGACAAACCAGAGGTCACTCCCCACCAGAAAGAAACACCCTCCCTCTTGGTACCCTCCACTGGGAGGGTGTCCTCAGGATGGGTGTGAATGAACCCCTGATCTCCACTGGGGGCAAATTCTTGCCTCTGATCAGTGCTGACACCCCTGCAGACCCCCTGCATCAGGCTGTAGACCAACCCCTCCTCCAGGTTGGGGATGAGGGAACCACAAGACCCAGCACATCCACTAGCCAGCACCAACCCAAAACCCCTTTGCTTCCCCTCACTCTTTCCCTGCTATTGATGCTGGGTGAGCAGAGGGGCCCAGATACTGATATTTGCATGGCAGCCCCGGGGACACAAACCTTCCAGCTTCAAAATAAAACCTGAGGAGGGTGGGTATACTATGGGAGCAGCTGCTGTACCCCTAACTGTGCAACACATTTATTGCCCCCATACAGAGGGAGCGGGGACACCCCCTCTGACAAAGCCACACCTGCTGACCTGCCTGGGCCATGCGGGTAGACCTGTCTCTAGCGCTTGGCAGTGGCATTTGTGGGTGTGCAAAGTGCCAAGCCACAGGCTGATGAAACAGTTGCCCCGGCAACATCACAGGGCCCTCGGAGCCTAAGCGGGCGTTCAGGGACCCACAGGCTGTGTGTCATGTGTCTCCGGGGGCTCTTCGTCCACAGAGGATGGCCCATTGCTGTGAACACCCTGGTGGTCAGCACACCACAGCAAGAGGCCTAGCACGGTTCCCTGCCCCAAGAGCCAAGGGGCAGCTGAGGGGTTCAGAGGGAAAGACAGGGCCCTATAGCATAGTAGTTGCAAGTCAAGCTGCTAACTTCAAGGTCAGCAGTTCAAAACTACCAGCTACTCTGGGGGAGAAAGATGAGGCTTTCTGCTCCTGTGAAGATTTATAGCCTCAGAAACCATATGTAGGGTCACTATGAGTCAGAACCAACTCCACGGAACATAACCAACCAACCATCACCTCTCCTGACCAGGGGGCAGCAGCCTCCATGTCAGCGTCCCTGACATAACCCCACTTCCTGTATTCACAAATGTCCTTCAAACATCCTCCGTGCCCCTCACTCCACAGCTCTGTCTAGTCCCCTTTTCTGGCCTGTGCATCAATTCTACCTCTCTGCCTGGTTCACCCAGTCACAGCAGCCCTTCCTGTCCCAGCTGCTCCCAGGTCTCTGTCCTAGCCAGCCTCTCTGCTTAGAGGCACCCCACCACCAGCACCCCTCGGCAACTCCTAGCCCAGGCTCTGCATCCAGGCCTTGTGGGGGTCCCCTGCAGCAAGCGCCTACAGGTATCATACAGCCCAGGGCTGGTCTGCCTGCTTCCATGTGCTAGTGAGGCCCAGGGAACTCAGAGAGTACCCATCAATAAATCCTGGGGAGGGGGGAGGAGAGCGGTGTTTCCCCCATCTGAGGCCCACCTCCTTTGGGAACTGGAAATCAAGCAGAAACCTGCTTCTGGGACCCCAGCCCTTCACAGCCAGCCCCAG